CTTTAAGTTATTGACCAAATATTGGGTTTACTAGATCACATTTTTTCGTCCTGTCTAATCATATGCCTGTCATATTTCCAGGAATGTTTTGATCCTATTGTTGCGAAATCTGGTCGGGATCTCATTCCAGTTATGGTCTATGGGTAAGATATAGTGTTATTTTCCTGGTTAACATTATATGATGATAATTATATATTAGTTGGCTGCTTTCTTTTTCTCTTGGTTTATCAAGATCTTCTTGATGTTCTATATGATGCATTGTTGGCTGTGCTTGGACCATGGTTCAATGGGATCATTGGTTCATGATATTCCATCAGAGTTTTGCTTAAATGGAAGAATAATTGCTTAATTTTTTAAAATTTATTTTTCACTTTAGGATCTTATCAACGGATGGTGTATGGGAATTATTGAAAAATGGTTCATGGAATGCCAGATAAATCTCTTATCACATCCTGAGTTTTTCTCAACCTGGAAATTGACCATATAAGTGCATTCAAATACAAGAGCAGATTGCTTTACCTTTGAAATGCGGCTAGGGATAATCTTAACACCATTTGTGTTGACAGATGACTGTGGTAGTTTTGGGGTCAACAATGAAACAATTATAGGAATATTACTTACCATTAATTTTCTCTTGTTTACTTTCTACTTTCTGAACATGATAAATTGGGTTTGAAGTAAATATTTCCCTTGCCAATTATGCAGTTCTTATGTAGGCTGTCTTTTTGAATTTTTTTCCTTTGGGCTGTTTCTGATTTATGGTTGCCACATCTGGGATCAAAAACAATCTCTGGTATCTTATAAGGAGGGGGAAAAGGCTAATGAAAAGGTTCTTGCAGCTGTTCTCACATGAATTATATCCAGTGAAATTGTCATTCTTTCATCCTTTTAATATCTTATCCTGTTCAAAGATAACACCTTATCACACTGAAAATGCTTAGGATTGTAATCCATAACTACAGTGTTAGGGGAGCTGTGATTGAATATACATACTGAGCATTGATATATGCATACACATACATGCAAATTAGTAGAAACAAATCAGTTTTTCTCAAAACTGCATATAGTGTGCTTGGTGGAAGTTTTCTTCTGATGACTTGTTTTGCTCTTCTGCCAATACCTAGGATGACAACTCTTTGAATCTTTTTGCAGGAGAAATATATCTGGCCAGGAATTTGGGGGCATGTATTGTGTGGTTTTGACAGTGAAGTACGAACCCATTCAAAATTGCCTGTCTTTTCTTGAGCATTCTCCACTTAGCTTCATTTTACATTTTTGCTAATTAGTTCATTTTTTACATTTAATGGATGATCAGTTCTGTTGTTGTATCGGCTGGACTTCTTAGAATTTTTGGTCATGAGGTTGCTGAACTTCCTCTAGTTGCTACAAGTCGAGAACATCAAGGACAGGTAAGCATTAACTGTCTGGATGTGATCAATACTTATTTTTTGATAGATTTTATTATTCCCCTAATCATTTCTCATATGCTGATGGTAAGCATTATTCTAAGTTTTTTTTTTTTTCCAAAAAAATTTGTTTTTAGGGCTACTTCCAAGTGTTATTCTCATGTATCGAGACATTACTGAGTTCCTTGAATGTTGAAAACCTGGTACTTCCGGCAGCTGAGGAGGCTGAGTCTATCTGGACAAAGAAATTTGGCTTCAGAAAGATGACTGAAGGACAAGTAAGTGCTTTTTCCTTAGTATTCAATACTTTAGCAGCAAAAATTATTCAGTAAAAGATACTTTGGACATATTTCATTATCTCTCTCTTTTGTATCCACAAAAGGCCACACGACCGAGGAGAAACACTGATATTTATTTTTATATAATTTAAAAATTTGAAAGAAGAAAGCTCTGATGAGTTTTGGGATCCATGGATTGTTGTGATAATATTTCCGTTGGGTGTTATTGAGGTATTGCTATGATTGGTTATATTTGGTTTTTCTGCAAATCTAGTGGCTAATTACTATTAAAAAGTCATCCAATGGAACAGAGAACAACTAGATAAACAGAGCCATTTCTTTTATGATTAATTATGTTTCTCCATAACGAGCCTGATTACAACATTAAAATGTCGTCCCAGCAAAACAGAGAACCTTTTCGTAAACAATTGATATTATATGTTGATTTTTAATGAACATTAAAAGATTCATGAAATATATGGCTGTTACACAATGAAATAGAGAGCCTTTTGTTATAACAATTTATATTTACATGTTCTTGTTTCACTAAAATTGAGAACACTAGATAATCACGATATATGTTGTTTTGCAGTTGCTGAGGTACCAAAGAGAGCTGCAACTGACAATTTTTAAGGGAACATCTATGCTAGAGAAGAAGGTGCAGCAGATACCGGAACAGCCTGAATAATTCATAGTAACAAATCAGTTGCATCACAGGATTCTTATTGGAATCACAAAATGGTTTGGAAGTTTTGGTAGCAAGTCGTATCATATAGTTGCCTGTTCTAATTTTCCTTCTCTTTGAGCAGTATCTGTAAAGAGATCACTGCATGCTGACCTTTTATTATGCATGCATGTGCGAGAGTAATTCTTTGATTGTATTGCTATGTGGCTTAAGTATGTAGAAAAGAAAAGGCTTGCAACTGTTAGAAAGTTTAAAAATTAGATTTTGCTTCGATTCAAAAGTTGATGTCAGTGATTGTAAGGGTTTGTTTTTTGGGTTTTTGCTCCGCAGGGTTACTAGGTTGAGATGCCATACAGATGGGGTTTATCATTGTTATATATGTGTATATATTTTGAGAGGGAGGGAGTAGGAGTACAACCGATAACTAGTCTTTTATGGCTCTGTCTAACATTTCAACATACAGATTTGTGATCAAGATGCAAGATTTACATTTCAACCGATAACTAAAAGTCTGCCAAATTTTCAACCGTTCAAGTGGTTGGAATTTTATGAGTACACTGTTTTTTTTGTATTAGTTGGTGCGGGTTTAGAGCACAAGAAGAAGTCTTGGAACTACAGAGACCAATTTACATGTTGATTAAAATATCTTGGGATGTGTTTATCCTGCACAATTTCTTAGACAGCATTGGTGTCTGGCATGATATTGTTAGAAACAAGCATGTCCAATGGATAAGACGGGTAGGTAGTGCCAATGATTTCACATAAACCATAAATCTTTTCAAACATAATAGCGGGCAGAGACCATGTATTGAAACATTGCACTACTTCCAAACTGTTGTGGTAGGCTCTTAGTTCTCAAAAAATTAATTGAAGGGATCTGCATGTAGTTTCAAGGTAAATTTAAATAGGTGTGTGTATTGTTGAAAGGGGCAACTTTTATTACTAAAGCAGAGGAGAAAATAGACAAATAAAAGTAGTAGAGGTTAAGAAGGTGAGGAAAAACTTATTGGTAACGTAAACTGTAAACTAATCGAATTAGCATCTAATTTGCATGAGTTTTATTTTGTATCCTACTCAAGTGTGTGACCACGTAAAAGGGTCGATTAAATTAGAGATAAAATATGTATCTAACACAGAATGTCAGAAGAAGAAGCAAAAGAGAGTTGTCGTTCGAACCCTCTGGCATTACAACATTTCAATAGTACACAAATATATACAAAGACTGTTTCTGTGAGAAGCCAATTCTTTATGTTGTTAACGTAATTATATTAAATATGTTGATTCACTCGTACACTGAGCATAGACCAATGTAGAGGAGGAGCTATTGATTTCCAAGATCGGTAACACTCTCAGATCAACTGAAGACAACATGAATATATATACACATATGTATTCAATCTCCAAATCAACTGACAAAGTTAAATCTTATTTTATATTAGAAACAAGTTGCGGATGCTAGTATACAACTTCGTGTGTATTTACTGAAGAAAATACATTTTTCTAAAAAGAATTTGTAAATATTTGTAGCTCTGTAAGCAAATAATAACAAATTTTCTACATAGTATTTTGATTGTTAGGGTCTTGGTGTATTTTCTATATATGCAACTCAATAATCTTATAAATAACATCATAATATATTAATCACAAATCATTAATGATACTCGTACAATTATATATTGTTGTAATCTTTTTCTTTGTTGATTAATTTAAAGGCAAAAAAGTTACATTAGAATGTAATTAATTTGGATTAAACAATTGGGTCGTCCTAATTATGAATTAATTAAAAAGTTTTGATTGGAAAATTATGTAGTAGAGAAAAAAGTAATTAATTTTTAACCACAATATTTTTTACATTCCATAAATTATTAAAACCTACCAAACTTGCTTTCAAGAGTAGTACAATGTGATAGGAGTAGGAATAAATAAATAAATATAAATAAAGATAAGGAAGGAAAAAAGGAAAGAAGAAAATGTGGGGCGAGGAGGTAGGGGAGCCAGAAATCAGCGCAAGTCCCAACCAGCTCCTATAACGCGGTCGTTGAGAGTATTAACGCCGTGCCATTTAATGCCATTCAAATTGCTTTATTTTTATTTCAAAAAATTTCTCCTCCTTTCCCTCCCCCCAACTACACTTCTCCAAACCCATAAATTCTCATGCACGTCTTCCCTTCTCTTACCATTCCCCAGTCACCTGCCTTGCTTTTTATTTGCTGGGTTAAGAAATCCTCTCTTTCTTTATTGAGTGATTTGTGCCATTTGTCAGAGGAGAGGAAGAAGAAGAAGAGTTTGGCGGGGTGGAGGGAAATGGGGCTTTTTTCATTGGTGACAGGGAGGCCGGGACTAAGTGGGTTTGGTTCTGCTTCTACTGCAGAAGAGGTTACTCAAGGGATTGATGGTAGCAACCTAACTGCTATTATCACAGGTCATTCACTTATTTCCCTATTTTCTGTTGGTTCAATTGGGTTTCTTTTATAACTTTCATTTTTGTTTTACGGGTGTTTTTTTTGTTCTGGTCATCTGGGTTAATTTCGTATGTTTGGTTTCATTTTTGCTTTATGGGTTCTTCTTTTTGGATCCGAGGAAATTGTTCTTGGAGCTTTAATTTGTTTCCCTTTTGTGGAAATTGTACGAGTTCTTTATGGTTTTCTTTGTTGGTTGAGAAATGATGCAAGGCATGATATGGAACAATTTGTGAAAAAGCTAATAGTAGTAAAGTAGATTGGAAAAAGAGGAGCAAGGAAATTGATTATTTAATGAAAATCTTTATGCAGGAGGGGCTAGTGGGATTGGATTGGAGACTGCAAGAGTTATGGCTCTTAGGAAAGTTCATGTCATTATAGGAGCAAGGAACATGGAGGCTGCAAATGAGGCCAAACGTCTCATTCTTGAAGAGAATCAATCTGCTCAAATTGACGTTTTGAAGCTTGATCTCAGCTCGGTGAAGTCAATTGGTCAATTTGTTGATAAGTTTAATGCTCTTAAACTCCCTCTCAATATCTTAATGTACAATCTCATTCTCACTCTCTTTCTCTCTCTTCTTTGTCAGTTTTATTGAATCATTAAATTAAATGGTTTGATTTGATTGAACAGAAACAATGCTGGGATCATGTTTTGTCCATTCCAGCTCTCAGAAGATGGCATAGAGATGCAATTTGCTACAAATCATCTTGGTAGGATATGTAATATAGAATATTTACAAGATGAAACTGAAACTGTTAAAAATGGATGTAATCATCCCAATACAAAGATTTACAATAGCTTATATATATATATATATGTTTATATTTGTGTTAAAATTCTAACAGAAAGTTGGGCTTCTTTCACTTCCTTTTTTCCCCAGGCCATTTTCACTTGACAAATCTGCTCCTGGAGAAAATGAAGAAAACAGCAAAATCTACTGGAATAGAGGGGAGGATTGTGAATTTGTCATCAATAGCTCACATTCACTGCTACAAGAATGGGATTCGATTTGATAAGCTAAACGATCGATCAGGGTGGGTACGCTGTTGTCCTTCGTTTCCAAAAGACTCTTTCTTTATAAATATGCTAACATTTTTTATCTTTTCACATTCAGTTACTCGGACAAGAGGGCCTATGGACAATCCAAATTAGCCAACATATTGCATTCCAATGAGCTCTCTCGTCGATTCCAGGTGACCGGAATTCATTGGAACATACGTTTTAATCTAAAGATCCTAGATCTGTAAATCTAACTTTGTGTTTCTTTCAAATTTTAGTTTCACAAAATATGGAGAAGAAAACACAGAAATGAGCTGGAAATGTGAAAGAGAATTTAGTTTTAAGTTAATTGTATATCTATCCATTTCAAGTTCTTACTCTGTACGTAGAAATATAAAGTTATAATTGTAGAATTCACACGTGAGTGAAATTGATTCAGTTATATATCAAATATATAAATTATGATTGATTTTTACTTAGTAAATCATTAAAATCTAAGAATTGAACTAACTAAAATAAAATAAATTTAACGAAACTCGTCGAAATAGAATAGAAAAGATGATTTGACATCGAATTTTGACAAATCTTTTTCCGCAAAACACAGGAAGAAGGTGTGAACATCACAGCAAATTCTGTCCACCCTGGACTGATAATGACAAATCTCATGAAACATTCAGCCATGTTAATGAGTGTGATCTCTTTCCTCCATCCATCATCTTTAAAACCCTATTTTTTTTCTTTTCTAACCTTCTTATCTTTTTACTTGTTTTACGTGCAGAATTTTTCAAGATGTTCAGCTTCTTCCTGTGGAAGGATGTACCACAGGTAATATATATATATATATATATATATATTTACAGCATATCATCACACCAGTTTTCATTTTTGAATACATGAAGATCCATGAAGTTGAGATAGTAATACATGAAGTTGAATTTATTAGGGTGCAGCCACCACATGCTATGTAGCTCTTCATCCACGCTTGAAAGGTGTGAGTGGGAAGTACTTCGCTGACTGTAATGAGATGCCACCAAGCGTTCTGGCTACAGATGAAATACTGGCAACCAAACTTTGGGATTTCAGCAACAAATTGATTAGTGCAATCTCCAAACCATGGACTTATTAGGTTCCCAACCACCCATTTCTTAATTATCATTATTGTCCGAGTGTTATGCATGTAACACCCGTGTCCCACATCGACAGTAAATCGAAAAAAAAAAAAAAAAAAAAACACGGGTATGGTTTAAAATCGTCGAAAATAGTAATAGATAGTATTTATAAACAATATGGGTCTGAGTTGGTATTGAATTTGTGTCGTTATCTTCTTGCAAAGAAAAGGGTATTTATTATGTGATGAACAGAGTATTATTTTTGTTAATCCTTGCAATGTGAATTAAATTCAAGACCAGACTTAGAAATTTTCAGCAACAAAGAAAGCATACATTCAACGCTCCAAATAAATGTCGTTGTACTCAAAACTTACCCAGGTTTCTATCGGCATTAAAAGGGCTCAAAAACCCCCACCTGTATTCTTCCAACCCTAACCTATTTCTGGGAAGCCTTGGTGTATATATACGGTATGCTGGGTCAATACATACATTAGACTTTTTGTTTTTGTTTCCATATAAACATACATACATACTGTGTGTTTACACGTATCGGTGCCGACCTAATGTTTGTCCATACCTGTTGGCATATATATATATATAGGTATGTATGTAGTTATATTTATGAACTAATTCTCCATTGTTAGTGGTCGCATGATATTAAAATGAAAGGATAATATAATACGAATTTTTCAGTAAAAATATTTTTTATTTTTATATTTTCTGCTGAAAAAATTGTTATGATGTTATTTATATATGCTAATTGTTTAAACACAATATACAATATATATATATATATATATATATATATATACAAGGAGAAAATTAATGCTCCCTTTATATATATATATATATATACACATACATGTATAGACAGGCGGAGACCACTAAATATATAGATGATATTATATGTGTATGGACAGGCACCAAGAGATATAATTTCATTTATTTCAAATATTCCAAACATTCAACGTTTAACAAAATGTCTTAATTGTAAAAGAGCACATAATATTTCCTCTATTTTCAATTTGGTCATTATAATAATTAAATCTCAATTTTTTTTTTATTTTTTTTAAAAATAAATTCTTTAATTATCTGAACAAATAAAATTTTTTAACTTTTTTTTTTTATCTCATAAGATTAATATTATACGAATAAAATATTTTCAAACTAAAATTCAAATAAACATAATACTATGATTAAAAAGTATAAAGAATTTAATAATTGAAATAAAATGATTATGGATCAAATAGTCTAATTGTTAAATCTTTTTTATTTTGATCGAACTTAACGAACTCTAACTTTAATGAAAATATAAAATTTATTAATGTATTATGAATTATTTTTAAATTCAAAAAAATTTTAAAATTAAAAATAAGTAATTCTAAATTAAATCATCTTTTACGAAAATAAATAAAATAAAAATTTAGAATACAAAAAAATAAAAATAAGTGATTAAAATCATTTCATAAAAGTTCATAATTTCTTTTCATAAAATAAATCTATTTTGATTCTCGAACAATCCGTTGTCACTTTTGCTTCTATCATAACAAAAGATTCACTTTTATATGTAAAAGATCCGTATCAATAATTATGATTTTATTTACGAATAATTTCTTAATATCTTATTTATTCACAACAAAATAATTGATTTTCAATTAAGTCAATAATTTAATTTATTACTTCATTAATTTTTATCTAAACAAAAAAAAAAAAATTGGTAACAAAATAGACTAATTATAACGAAGTAGAGAAATACAAATAATTTTTGTATTAAAAAAAAAAAACTGAAATAAAATAGTATTCAATTGGTGGTATGTATTAGATATTTATAAATTATAAATAAAACATATTATAATTCATATCATAAAAATTATTTTCTCTATCTATATAACGTTTTTTATAATTATTTTTATTAGATGCTAAATAATTTTTTCTTAAAAAAAATAATTGTTAATAAATAATTATTTAACATCAATTTTACCCCAAACGCATAATAATTCAAGATGGAGCACCGCTCAATCAATCTCCCACGGACACATGGCTCGGACCGCCCAGGCAGATCCGGCCACAATCACTGCAGCAAAAATCGGAGGAACAATCCAATCAAGCTTCGATCTACCGACCATGGAAGCCGGCAAACAAACAATCTCTCCGCCGACCTCCAGCGGAACCCTAATAAAACCATCTCTTTCACACGACCGCGAGAAATACGACGACGGCAATAACGCCGATGCGTAAGCGAGTTCCGGCGAGAAAGAAGCTAAGACCACCGCCGCAGTAAGGAGAATGGTCCACATGGCAGCGTAGAGTAGCAGGGGCCACCTCGAGCTGAATCTGTGGAGTAGAGATGTAAAAACGCCGAAAGCCATTAGTAATTTGTTTGTCAGAGGCTCTGAAATTCTGTGATAAAGCCATCGTGGATGAAGATTCTAGTGGGGAGACCTAACATCAAACAACTGTTTTGGAGTTTAGTGGAGGTTCGTTGACTGACTCCATCCATCTTTTATTTGATCTCTCAGGTTGACCGCCACGACAGTTTGGGTTTGGTAGGAAAAACTTCCCCACTGTTGTTTCTGATGACATCACGTGCATGCCTAAAAAATTCATTATTTATTATATTAATTTTTTATGAAATTTAAGTTTCGGAAAAATGTGTTCGTAATTAATAAAATTTAAACTTCACCTTTAAGTTAATTAAGGATCTCTTAATTAAATTTTGATTATAAATTTTAAATTAAATTCTAATTAGATGCAATGATTATATTAATTGAAAATTTTAGTTATAATGACACTAATTTTATTATTATTAATTCTAAACAAAATTTAAGATCATCTAATTAAAAATTTGAACAACTTCCATATATAGTAAAAAGTTTTGATATGATTAAAACAACAACAAGTGTCATAAGTGTACAATATTTGTATCACACATATATATATATATGTATGATACATTGCTTCATAATAAGCGGCATATGACTAAAACTCTGATAGAAATAAAAGTATTTAACAGTTGAATATTTTACATCGTTATCAGGGAGTGTGACTGTGAGAGGAGAATACTTTCTCCACTTGAAGAGCTAGAAAGAGGAAGGCCAGCAACGAAACAGAGATTCCAGATACCATAATCACCAACATGGTTTGCAGTGAGATATATGGGCAGAGAAAGAACACCACTGCAATAGCAGCACTCTGCCATACCTTCAACTGTGCAAATGCTCCTTCCTGCATGTGTTCCATAATCCAACATGAATTTCCGATACCATGATGAGGACTGGTATTTTTTTTTTTATTTTTATTTTTTCATAATACCAGATAAACAAGTTAAAACAAATGTTGGCACTTTGAAATCTGTGCATCCACATCCATGGTATTATTCCAGTAAGTTAAAATGTTCAACAAAAGTGTTTCAGAATAACTAACAGACCATTTATTAACCGATTCTACGAGCATAAGGGGGAGCACATAAGATGTGATGCAGGAAGAGCCAATAACCCATTTTTGTGCCCCGAGTTGAGGGTCGCAAGCTTCATAACAGATCCAGCCACATTGAGGTTACTCTAGCCTTTGTGCCATTATATCCAATACCTCTTACAAGTTACCAAGGAAGATAAAATAACTTTTGGGACATGAGAAATGTAACTAAGATGTCATCCAGGCACTATTATCTTTATCCATGATTAAGCATATCGGCAGGAAGAAAAATGATCATCTCAAGTTTGAGGTTTACAACGTATAAATTAAAAGTCAGTACCGTATCATGCTCGAAGAGAATTCCAAGCAGAGCACTGAGCTGTGTCATCAATACTCCATCACCAATGCCTAATATTGCTGCCATGATAAGTGGATATATGGTACCGAGTATCCCACCAGTAACACTATATCATGACAGTACAAGCCAGTTGGAAGTTAATATCTCTAAATTAACAAATTAAGATAATTTGATCAATGAAAAACTTCATAGAATGACCAGCACCGACCTATATTTCAGCAGTAGCCAAAGGAAAATAATGGCATGAGCAAACAATCCACCACAAACTATAAAGGTGATTGATGAGAGACCAGAAGTAAGTCGACCAGCAGTCAGCGAACACTGTCAAAGTTTTTAATACCGCCAAGATGGAATTTGTTATTCAACTAAGGGATATGTATCGAAATGTTTCCACTAAAATTCTAATCTAGCGAGCATGGGAACCATAATTTATATCATACTCAGTTAAAATAAGTCACAAAAAGGATCGGTATACTTGAAAAACGTTTTGATGGATCATTCCATAGCTTGAAATGAAAAAATGGTCACAACAAAGATTCACACACCAAAGGTTATACTGATACCTGTAAACAGGCATGACATACACTCTTACGATATGC